CATTTATTTTTTCTGCATATATTAATTTTAAAATATAACACAATTTAAATAAGTTACTTAAAGACTAATGATTATATTTAAATTATTAATTTAGAAGGTATTAGAAAAGACATTGAAAAGCAACAAAATATTACCAAATCGAGCATAACTCAAATGGTTAAGGATTGGTTTAAAGTATCTATGTTCGACTAAAATATCTGAATTGAAATCTTCACTCTAACGTATTATGTTAGCTGGAAAAGAAATTCTTTTTTAGTGATTATTGATTTGAAGTCCAAATATAAATTACATCAAACCTAATTAATATTTTCAGAACTACATAAATTCAAACATAAACTATATAAATTAAATCATAATTTAAAAAATTCAAGTATAATAAGATATTTTTAAGGAGATTCTAAGTTCTCTAGAACGTAAATTTCTTCATCAAATAACACTAGTGCAACAGATACAACAATCCTTATTCAACCAGAAGACAGATGAGAAAAAATTGAATTATGTTGAGTATTGCAAGTGTAGTAGCTAGTAAACCATCATCTAGTACCAAAGTTTATTACATAATAATTCATTAATTATGTTTTAAACTTCTATTTATTTAAATAACAAGTTTATCTCCGTTGGATTGGAGGTGATTTATCAAGCGTCACGTATCAATGAATTATAGGTAAGAAAATGTCATGTTAGTTAGTATGAATAAACAATAGTCAATAAGTAGCACGACCACCTTCCTTGGCTAAGCCGAGATGAATAATCCGATGGTCATGCATGCCTTCGTAAAGGTTGAACCGATCAATATGGATCTTGACGACCAACTTTTCTATAGAACAAGCTAAGCCGATGATAAAAAACACTCCACTTCATTGCTCTTTCTATTCTTCGGACAACATGTTGGGATTTCCAGAACGTTTATAATCGTTGAGCAAGTGGCGTCCGTAAGTCGAAATCAATAAATAGAGAGTTCTTGCCTCATATTTTTAGGTACGCAAAACTATTCTTTTCTCTTTGTGCGATCAAATTTAGATGAAGCTTTTTTCTGTCTCTATGCAGTTCTTAGTATTCGTCAGTGTTCGTCGTTCTACCCAATCTTTCACGAAACGATCATTTTCTCAAACATTTTCATTTTCATGAAAGACTTAGTTGGTCAAAAATATTCGCATAGACAAAGATAAGACGTGGATCATGCTTGCCTGCCACGTCAGCCAATCCACAAAAACCTTCCTTCGCCTCTTTGCCCATATAATGCCTTTTGAAAAAGACCACAAACATTTTTTTATTAAATCAAGTGTTTGTTTGAATATTTTATATATATTTTTTTGCCTTTTAGCTTTTCCATTAAAAAAAAAAAGAAATTGAAATATAAGTTGGGTGTTTGAATTTATAGTGCGATGACCAATAAGTAATTAAACTTGTCTAATAGATCTTTAAACTTTAAAAAGTGTTTAAATAGATTTCTAAAACTTTTATTTTTTATCTAATAAATACCTAAAATTCAAAAGATATCTAATAGGTCAGACACATATATAAGTTCAAACCTATTTTTATTAAGATTCATTAACACTAGACCGTGTGTGTATAATAAAAAATATAAAAGATTTGAAGTGATTTGTATGAGTAGAACAAAAGCTACAATAACTGTGTATATGATTAAATTAACTACAACAATAACAGACAAATAGAACTTAACGAGCAACATAACATAATGAAATGTTGTCGAGACAAGCTTTTAAAAAGCTAACTTGAATGTTTTGCTTTAGTGCATACATCGTGTTACTTTATTTGTTAGTGTTTTCACATTTTAAGAGCTATGTTTATAGTTAATTTCACTGTTGTGGTAAGTTTAATTAAGTAGTAGAAGAGTGGACAGAAGTTAAGAGAATTTATAGGTTTAGTGGCTTAGTAGTATTGTGGTGTTTGATTAGAGAGAATTTGGAGGGCAGTGATCTAAGTAGCGAGCTAGTGGTCAGTTATTATTTTTCATCAAAATACCTGTAACAATTCTCTTGCTTTCACTTTATTGTTCTCTTCATTTTTCGTTATATTGAAGATAAATATTCATTTTGCATAGGTTATTTGCAAACTATGATGATCTTCTCAACATGATATAAAGATTAATTTTCAGTATAATAACAATCTCGAACCACTCAAAATTCAACAAATTAGCAATCAAGGGGATAAAGAGAAGAGAAAATTATCGAGAGAAGTGGAAAAAATCAAAGTTGGAACAATTTTAAGGGAAGATTTCAACAACTCTTTTATAGTTGCATGAAATAATAACTCATATGCAAGATTTAACTTCATAAGATCAAACGGCATACAATTAATACTTGATAAATAACTGTATTCCACAATGGATATGTACATTTGTTGCAATTGTTCACGGTGGATATATAATTATTTACCATGGTTGCAAAACCTAAATAGTAAAAAATCTATTTAAATTCATAACCGTTATGAATTTAATATTTGACTATTAAATTTGTAATTAAATAATCGTTATAACCAAGGTTTAAAATGTCGATGGGGATAGAAATTTCGATGTCCCGATTTTACGAAAATGTTGATGGAAATGTCGATATCCACGAATATTTAAGAAAAAATCACAAAAATTATGAAATTTGATGGAAATTGTTTGAATTAGTAAATAAAATTTAATGGTAGCTTAATTAGACTATAATTGATAACTTGTAACCATCATATGTAAAAATTTGAGTAACTTATCTATGGAAATATCAATTACCGATGGAAATGTCGGTACATGATAATGAAGATGGATGAAAATGATTTGAATTAGTAAATTAAAGTGCATTGTTGCTTAATTATGTTTTATTGACTATTCAAATATAGTATTTAGTTACATAATTGAACAAATTATGAAATATGGATACTACGATATTTGTATGTCAAATAACATATCATAATAAAATTTAAAAATAAATTTTCATGATTTTGATAAAGAATATACATGTATAAGAGAAATAGAAGAAATAAATTATAAAATAAAACAAATATCAGTTAAAAATAATAAAAAAAAATATTGATATATAGTATTATCATGTATAAAAGAAAAGGATTTTCTAGAACAAAAATAAATGAGAGCAAGAGTTTTAAAAGGAGTTTAGAATAATTTGAATTTGTTGGAGGAAGAAAAAAGAAAATAGAGGGAAGAGAAGAGAAAAGAATGAGAGAGAGTACAAATTACAATTTAATATTAGAAAAAAAAAAAATCTTAGCGCATCTCAAGATTGAAAGCAGTGGTGTGTAGGGCTCGGTTCAGCAAGTTAAATTATTTTTTATTTTGTCGAGACATTTTTATCGATATATCGACATGTTGGCAGTATTTTCCCGTCTAGATGACGTGTCAAGGGGGCGACACATGGGTATGTCGCATAATAGTTATAACACGTTTAATATTTTTGACCACTTTTTCTCACACAAATACATAAAAAGTACAACAGTTGCCAAATAGAAAAAGGAGATGTTCAAAGAACGCCCTCAAGCACCCAACACGATATTTATATTGGTTCACATGATGCATGAACGCTTGAGTGTATGAGTATATGAATGAACAAATATTGCATCATATGGGAGAGATTCTGAAACTTTGCAAATATATAACTGATGAATGCTAGAAAGAATTAATAGTAACTATCTATATCAACAATGTACATATTTTTTTTGTTGCTCGATTATTGGAACTAAAAATTTAAGTGCATTTGGCTTGAATCAATAGAAGAACCTATGTTGGTACCAACATAAATACTGAGCAATATGAGCTTGTAAGTCACTCTATGAGTGTTGAGTAAGTTTGTTAGCAACGTATGACAACTCATCTTTAGGTATATTTTGGAGGCTTATTTCGAACCTCACAAGTGATAAGGGAGTCTGAGTCTGAGACTAGATTGTCATTCTTTTAGCAATCTATTAGACTTGTTGGTCAAGTGGTTCAACTTAACCTAACAATGAGACTGGATTATTTCAGGGGATTAGTACAGAACTAGCATATTTTAGGATTTAAATTACGCAATGAACTTAACTTTTATAGGTGGAATCCATTAGAAAAGTACTCATAAGTCCTTTCTAACCATTTGTTAAATAATAAAACATAAAATAAAATATGGAATACATTTAGAATTTGGACTATTTTCTAATTTTTGTTTTGAAATCCCTAAAATCATGTAGTCATGTTTCATGAAATCCCTAAAATCTCTAATTTGAAAACCTAAAATCGTATTAGGAGGTTGATTAAACTTTGCATATGTGGCACAATCCTTCGACGTATATATTATATAACCTAATATTTGAGTAACGGAAATATTTGAATATATATCACCTAAAATTATATATTATATAATATTTTGAAGTAATATATGTTTATCATACTATAAATTATGATATAAAAATATATTATATAATGGTAGTTGGAATATATCCTATTATATAATAGTATATAATAATAAAAAATATATATTATATAACAATGAGTATATATTTATCATACTATTGCAAAAAAAAGGTGTGAAAAAAAAAGAAGTAAAAAAAAAAAATTTTATTGAGAGAAATTTTTTTAATTTTGATTTTTTTTAGGTTGGGTCAAGAGGTAAAATCCAAATATGAAAAAAARG